CTGATTGAGGTGGGGCCTCCTCAGGGCAGTTCTGGCTACTCCAGCTTAGTCACCCCTGGGGGCGCAGGATGCTGGGGACGGTCCTCAGGGTCCTTTTTGGGAAGGGTGCAGATAAAAAAAAAAGGGTCGAGTAGAGTGAAGATTAAGACGGAGAAGATGGCGCCTCTGCAGTGCAGCAAAGAAAAGCTGTGTGGAGGCTGCAGCCTGTGAAATCCACCCACCACTAGGTGTATAACAAGTCTTCCCCATTCATCCAACTCTCCAACATCCAGCAAAAGGGTTGTTTTCCTTTTTACCCAAAGATGCCTAGAAGTTGCTTGCGTGGCAGCTGGTTGTGTTTCGCATCGTTTGTTCCTTTTTCATCATCTTAAGCATTCTGCAATATCCCCTCCCCGTCAGAGTCCCCTTTCCCCCCTACCTCATAGTAATTTTCCAAAATAGCAATTTCCGGATGAGTGCTTTCCTGTAATTCCATGGGGACTGTCCAGGCAATCACACTAGTACGGATTTTTATTTATTTATTTTTAGTCCTTAATTTGCAAGGTCATTCAACTTTTCTCCCCTCTAATATTTTTTTCTTTTTCTTCTTTTTTTTTTTTTTCCCACAAGTGGCTCCAGGGTTTGGAAATCACCTCAGGCTGGTTAAAACAGGTCTTTTAGGAGTCTTAAGAATTTAGTGTTCCATTTTTTTAAAAGCCATTTAATCAAGGAAATTCTGATTTCTCCGATGACCTAAAATTTTAATTGTATAATCATTAAGTTTTTCAGATTGCCTTGCTATATAAAGACACAACTAAGTAATTAAAAGCATAACTTTCATTTTTGAAGCTCAAGTCAAAACTCAAACGTTTATTTTTCTTGGGCTTTTTTTTTAAAACTTGTATAAAGAGGGTTAGGATGTAGGCCAAGATGGACTGGATTTCTTTCTTTCTTTTTTTTCTTTTTTTTTTTTGTTTTGTTTTTTGGCTTGTGCAATTGCATATCATTTTCCTGCCAACCATTTGCAGATTATCCCCTGGTTATCGTCACCTTTAAAGGATGAATGTAAGACTCTCATCACTACCTTTTGTGAATCATTGGAAGGATAGGTAATTCACACTAATGAGGTGTGACAGAGGCTTGTGCAGGTCTGTGTCCACTGAAGCCACGGAATTACGAGTTGGCTGCCTTTTGTGAATCACAGAAAATAGGTCTGCTGCAGGTGGCTCTGAAAAAGAATCAAAGGGACCGAGGGTAATGATGATGGGGCCTCATCTTCCAGGGAATCGTCATTACCTGGTTTGACATTTTTCTCCTGGTCTGTTAAATGGAAGCATGCGTTTAACCTTTGCTTGCTTGCTTGTTAATTTCCACTCGCCTGCAAGTTTTGTTTTCTTGTATGGAGCTGACACCTATCAACTTGCCTTGGTAGTGGTGGTTCCTTCACGTCTGGAGTCTGGAAACCTGCTGAGTAGTGCTGCTCTGAGGTAGAAGCCTACCCACACAGCAGTGAGGCTGAGAGTTTGATGGCGTCCATCAGTGGGAAGCCATGATAACTGGCAGACTATAAATGCTTGTCTCCTGCCACCCCAAGCGATAGCATCCCCCATGACACTTGCAAGACCCTGAGTGCCGCAGAGCGGTTAAAAGATGGAACTGAAGAAATGAAGAGGTGTCTACAAGATCACAACACTAAATTAGAAAAGACTGTTTTAAAATAAATGGGGAAAAAACAGGATCAAGTGGCTACTGAAGGAAGTGAAGATGGCTTTATGGTTAAGATTCTCTCTTACTGTTACAGGGTCACCGTTTTAAGTTTGCCATTTATGGCACACCAAGTTTCGACATTTGTTTGATAATGAAGCTATATCAGTCATCCTACATGCAGGGGTGAAGCAAAAAGTACTTGACAAAATAATGCAAATGCACATTACTTCTGCAAAAAAGAAATGTTGTTTTAGGATTTCCAAGGCATCTTTCGTTAATAAATTTCTTTTGTAATCTCTGTCTTTTATGTCAATCTATGCAAGATGGACCTGCACAAGTATACCTTAAATACCAAGTTACCAGAATGTAGTGTTTGTTTGACTGGATGTACTTACTAACCCCCACTGAGTACAGAAGTACATAGGGTGAATAAAACATGCAAGTAATTATGAAATAGGAATGTTGTACACAGTAAGCGGTGTACTGAGAAAATGTCACAGGATAAATACCTATAGTTAAAATGATGAAAGGGGTGATAGGGTTAGCTAGGCCTAGAAAGTTTCCAGCCAGGTTTGTGTCCCAGGCCTGGGGAATGAAGGATTCACACACAAACACCAGCATGTACATGCAGGGCCTTTGTCTTATCTGTGTTCTTTGAGCTTGCTTTAGAGCCAGGGACAGATAAGGTTTCACACAATGAAAGAAAGAACAAGTGTGGAATTCAGTTTGATTCATTGCCTCATCTATTCATCAGGGAAAATTTTATTGATTTATTTTTAGGCCAAATCCTGTCTCAGCTGTGATCATCTTTACACAGACCCAAACTGTCTTTTCCTTCATGGAGTTTCCATTCGTCCAGGGGACACAGAAAATAAACAAACTGTTGACAGGTGTGGGCCAGACTCTGGAGCTGGATGGAGAATTAGAAACAAGGATGTCAGGGCTGAAAGCAGACCCAGGTGTATCCAGGCCAGTAAACAATAAAAGGGAGCCTCACTGGACAGCAAAGAGGAGGGCGGCGAACCAAGTTTTTAAAGAGTGCTTCTATATAGAGCATGGTTTTGTTAAGCATGAGGTCCCAGCCTTGTTTGCACGGCAGAAACATGGAAGGTTTGCTTTTGTGTTTTTTCTTTCTGTTTGTGTGGTGCTGGGATCAAACATGAGACTTAAGCGTGATGGGCAACTGCTCTACAAGTGAACTACGTCCCATCCCAAGGAATCACGGAGATTAAAAAAAGACAGTAAACAAAAGCCCAAGCATGTTGCCAGGGTGCCACCCGGTGTATCAAAAAGAAATCCCTGGGAGCAAGGCCTGGCATTAAGGAAAAAAAAAAATCTTTGGGCAATTATAAAATAGAAACAGGGATTTTGAGGCCAGTTACAGATGGGCCGATTTGAGCCATCAGGACTCAGCAGGCTGTTCTGAAAATAAAGAAGCCAAGTAACGCCATAGAGGCCTGGGTGTGCAGGGAGCAGAGAGAAGGGCAGAGGAAAGCACAGGGTGGCAGGTTTCCACAGTGCTCGTCTCTCCTCGGAGCTGCTGGTCCTCATGGTACCCTTGTAGCCAAGACTGCAGTCGCATCCCACTCCCTGGTCTAGGTAACCTTGTGGTCCTGGAGGAAATGTGTCTCCCTTGGCACACACCTGCATTTGTGAGGGCTTGGCAGCACTCAGTGCTCTGTTTCCAAGCCCTCACCTGGTTTAGGGCTTTGGATTTCATTCTGGCTTTTTTTTTTTTTTTTTTTTTCTCGTTTGTTTA